CTTTAAGCATTAAGACAATACAGTCTCACCCGGTCCACTGTATTTACACAAAAAGTTGATAACTTAAATACTGACCATAATTAATGGACATTAAACTAGAAAGTAGTCTAAAGTCAAGCGCCAAATATAAATTCACTATGAAGTTACAGTGAACGGAGTTTAGATTCATAACTTCTGTGCCAGTACATTAATTTATCAATTTGTTAAAATAATACATAGTTTTAAATATTAAAAAGGTAAATTGTTGACATTAAAATATTAGCAAGTAGTTAGTAATATTTGTAAGAATAAGTATTATTATTATTCATTTGATATTGCTAAATAATTGCTTATACATTATAAAATCAATTTCAATATATAATTTCAATATATCTGATCTTTCAAAATAAAACCCGGATTATATATAGTATATGAATTGGAAGAATTCTCATTGAAACCAATGAAAAATCTTTCAATTCATAGCCTATATATAATCCGGGTTTTATTTTAAAAGATCAGATATATTTCAAAAGAAAGCAACCTGTAATATATAATTAATAAAACATTAAAATTATTGAAAATTATTAAAATATTGAAAATCAATAATGAATTAAACCATACTTTAACAAAATTTTTGATCCACAACAATTACAAATGCTATAGGTATTAGTAACTGGGCTCTGTAGCCCATGAATGTTAATCTATGAATTAAACAGTGGTTTAAAGAGTTAGCAGGAAACATTTTTTAAAAAATTAAAAACTTAAAATTAGAAATGAAATTCCCCATAATACAGAGTATGATAATTATAATTGTATTTTATTTACTTTTGCCAACTATCTAATAATAATATCGGTGCTTATGTGGTGGACAGGTAGCCGTTGGACAGTCACTAACATCACGTATAAGATTACGAAATATCCGACAAAATTGCGGTCCATCGCCGACCGACACCTAATCGACGCCCAAATCGCCAAAGCATTCAAAGTGTGGTCCGACGTAACGCCGCTTACATTCACCCGAATGCCCGCCAAAACGCCCTCCAGTGAAGTCATTATAGACATCCGATGGGAAAGGGGTGAACACGGAGATGGCGACGCCCTGGACGGGGCGGGCAAAGTGTTGGCCCACTCATACTTTCCCCAATACGGTGGTGACGCCCACTTTGACGACGACGAAGAATGGACAGTCGACTCGGAGAAGGGTTTGTCCTGTTTAACAAAATAACTGATAAATGTGATCCTTTTCACTAATGTTAATTTGTCTTTTTTATGAATATTTACAGAGTAACATTGTATTTATAATCATAGTGACAGTTAGTAAACATTATAAAAAAATAATTATTTAATTATTTATATTAATTTTTATTTGCAAAATGATTGATATTATTTTGACAATATTTCAATATATTATGTTTATTTTCTCAACACAGATAAACAGTTTAAGCTGTTTATGTTTGTTATGGTTAGCATACATGATGTGTGGGTTTCGATACCCGCTTGGGAACACATTTTAGTCATTACTTTACATTAACATCGGATATACTTCTCAACTTAAATAGGGTTATCAATAAGTTTAAACTTCATCAATAGGGTTATCAACAATGCAATCAGTTTAAACTGTATATTCAATTAAAACTCGCTTTACTATTGTTTCTAAAATAGTAGTTAATAAATAGTGGGATATCAACCATATCCACCTTTAAATTTTCAATTTATTTATAAGAACTATATTCTTACACTAATTTTGATATTATACCAGGACCAATTAATTTAAATTATAATTACACAATTTTCTGAAGGTTCAAACATATTGGTGACGGCTATTCACGAGTTGGGTCACTCGCTAGGTCTGGACCACTCGGACGCGGGGGACTCCCTCATGAACCCGGTATACCCGCCCTACCGGTCCGAATGGAAACTGGCTCAGGACGACATCCGGGCCGCCCATATACTATACGGCGCCCGACAGGGTGTGCCAGAGGTGCCCAACATTTGCAACAACGCCACCATTAGCGCAATGTTTAAACGAAACAATACTAACGCTATGTTTGTGTTTAAAGGTAGGCTGACCAGTGGCCAAATATTGTAGTGTTATTACGATTACTCTATTTGTAGGCAAACACTACTGGAAAATAAATTCCGATGAAATGACTGTTGACTCCGAGTTTCCAAAACCCATTATCGGCTTATTCTCCGCCATTGGGGAAGATATTGACGCAGTCATTGAGTTACCCGACTCTAGCACTCTTGTGTTCAAGGTTAATTAATTTAAAATTTATATTGGTTTATAAGATTATTATATTTTATAAAAACTGTATAATTGTTAAAGTTATCTAATCATAATGTAGCCCATTTAATTACTATAATTGACCACTTATTTTGTTAATTATTCTCGGTATTTACGAAGTGTATAATTTTGTACTTTGTAGGGTGAGCAATGTTTCAAATACGAGGGCGAAAACCTAGTGGAAGGTTACCCTAAACTATGTCGCGAGATATTTAATACCCTACCCCCAAAGGTAGACACCGCTATTTGTGTTGATGGAGTCATATATGCATTTAAAGGTAACCCAAAAATCCCCTCTAAATTCTGTACAGAATATTCTATATATTTATAAAATAATTGCTGAACAGGTGGTCAGTACTGGACGTATATCGTGGACGAGGAGCACAATGTGGTGGACAGCATTGATAAGGATGAGGCGCCCAAACCCATACGATCCCGGTTTCCCAGAATACCCGACAATATCAATGCCGTACTGACCATCAAAAACGCCGTTTATTTCTTCAAAGACGAGAACTTCTATCGTCTCAATCGGATTCAAAACGAGTTTAAGGTATGCGAGAGAGAGAGAGAGAGAGAGAGAGAGAGAGTTTTAAACAAAAAGGAGCGTACTGTAAATCACCAATTTAATTTCTGTAAAAAATGTGTAATATATTTAGTAAACTTTAAAATTTAATTACAGTTTCAGAAAAATAGGTAGTATCAATATCATATAATAATTACTATTCTTACCCTAAATAGTGGGCCGACAGTTCGCCCCCATATCCCCGTAAGGCAGCGTTGTGGTGGTTCGGTTGTCAGTAATTAGTGAGCACCGGTATCTAAAATAAAATAACAAAACCATTAAATAAAGGGCAAAAAATTTTTGTAAATAATATATAAATTCTTAGAAACTAATAAATATTAATTGTGACAGGAAATAAATAATCGAAACAAAATTTATTATTTTTTAAATGTTTTTATATGGTTTTGAAAAGTATTTTGAAGTATACGTGGCATTGATTTCTTTACCAACAATTTTAAAATTGCTAATAGATCATATTAAACTCAGACCAAATTTAATTAGATTGTTTTATTAATTAAGTATTATAACTAATTCAACTTTTTATATAAAATTACAGTTTTAAAGATTTACCAGCTTTTGTTGTTGAAATAAATTATTCATATTATAAAGTACATAATTCGTAAATAATAACTAACCTTGAACGGAATTGACACTGAGTTATCCGATTCAAGTATTAATGTGTCCCTGGTTCGTTTTTATTTACAAATATTTGAATAATTTATTTAAAGAACAAAAATTTATTAAATGTGTAAAAACTGTAAACATGTATAGGAATTTGCATTAGTACTAATTAGTTAGCAAATATAATAAATTATATAATTGTATAACAACCTGTAATACTATATAAATTAATTTGTATACAATATTAGTTATTGAAGTAAATTGTATGAATTATTAAATTTATTTTATTTTATTAATGTAACCTGTAGATGTTATTAAAATAAACATTGACCTTGCTAAAATTACTAAATCGTGAATAAATCGGTATCACTAATTACAATGGTTAACTAATCACAAAAATATAGTCGCCTTGAAAATTTTTATAGCATTATATTACATAACAGGGTTAACTATTGGTGCACGAAAGATTTATCAAGGCTCAATAATAATTAATAATTTTTTCAAGATAAACATTCAAAACTCCCGTTGATTGGCAACCATACAGTAGTGTATTAGGGAAATATATAATCCAGATAATATTTGTTATGTATTAATAATAATAATAATAATATGTGTTTTAAAGACTCATACGGAACATTAAATAATTTAAACATAAGTCATTTATTGATTTCATTAGGAACCCTCTAAACCATTGTGTTTCAAAAGTAGGTAGCATTGACATTTATTAATGCTATAGGTATTACTATTTGTAATAATTTGTAATACATGGAACTCAACGCTCTAAACAAATTAATTTATAAACTAGTTCAAATTAATTTTATTTGAATTAAAACCGTGCGATTCCGACCACATTCTTGAGTACCTGTAGGGCGGCCTCTGGTTTATCGTAGGGAACCATATGTCCGGCCCCGCGGACTAACACGAAACTCAGGTTTTTCTCGTATTGCTGTACAAACCCACCGATCCGTCCATCGGGTGTTTCCCACGAACTGAAATTTATTTATAGTTTAAAATATATTCATTATAAATATTATATGTCTAAATATATACTGTATATCAAAAAACATGTTCTTGCTAAATAGCAATTATCGTATATAAAATTCTTATTAAACTTTTATAATGAATTTACCTAAAATGACTGTGCTTATTCATTATAAAAGTTTAATAAGAATTTTATATACAATAAATGCTATTTAGAAAAAACGTGCATTTTGATATATGTTTATCCATATTAGGCTTGGTAATTTAGAAAATGTTATTACCCATAGTGACCAACTTTGTCTAGTTTTAAGCTATCGATAAACCGTTGATTCTCGACATGACTGCATACGATATCAAAGTTTCCATTAAACACAACAAGTTTTCCAATTTTATACTCATTTAGCAATTGTTTGAAAACAGGTGTCTGATCGGTGTCGCCGTAGGTGTAGGTGCCGTTACAATCGACCCAACGTTTAACGTCGTCCTTAACGTGAAGAGCATTACGAACTTCAGGACTATTCAAATACTCTGGGTATCCATTGTGTGGACACTTTAATTCATTAGGCCTTTCGCTAATAGGCTTTTTGTTTGATTTCTTTGCGTAATAACTGTTATAAAGCCTAATATAAGCTGAATTAGCGCCACAATCATCGTATATGTTGAACGGATTGGGAGTATCTATTTGCTCAAGGTGAACTGAATCACATGTCCTAATAATAGATATGAATAAAGTCTATTCAGTGAATAAACATTGATCTAGGTATTTATAAAACAATATTACGAGGCATTTGTCGGGTGATAGAAATCGCATTCATTGAGTGCTTCTCCTGTTTTACATTCACAGCACTTCTCAACCTTTTTCTCGTAGGACTCGGTTGCGAGCAATCCGTGACCCAAACTGAAGTCATAATCGCCCATAAAAATCAACGGCGCTTTATCGGCACCGTAAGCTCCATTTCCAATGGCTATACCTGTTTATGTTGCAATATAAATAAAATGTATTTTTATATTTGATCGCTTGGGTGCAGAAAACCGGTATTTTATTTTCAATGCGGACTGTATTCATAACATAATCATTGTATTAGTAGTATTCAATGTGATATGTAATACTATTAATACAATGATTATGTTATGAATACAGTTCGCATTGAAAAATAGATACCGGTTTTCTGCAACCAAGCGATCATTTGTTGAGTATGTGTACAGTGTGAATTGTACGAGTTTATTAATTACCTTGCAAGTTAATTGTGGATTTATTGCTGAATATCTGTTGGGCTAACATTGGTATATAAATTCCAGCATAACTTTCACCCGTTATATAAAATGGGTTTTTCCTATAATTGGGATATTTCTTGAAAAACTCTTCTAATACTAAATGGTTGTCCTCTGCGGTAGACATATCTGTGTTGTCGTACTGTTTGTCGTCTTTATAGCTAAAGCCGACACTTACCGGGGATTCAAGATATATGACATTCGCCACAGTATTCCAACTGTTGGGGTTCAACGCCAGGGTCTTCCCGTCGGAATTCACTCGAAAGGGTCCGTTCTCTCCCAAGTTTCCAAACAGTGAACTACAACCGGGCCCTCCATTCAGCCATAGGACTACCGGTGCGTTCTCGGGATCCTTTTGACTCTCGACGAACCAATAGAAGTAATGTTTGCCTTCAGTTATATCCAAATAACCGGAATATTGCTTAAAATT